GTCATGACAATAATTAGATGTCATCTCACCTTAATTAGATGACATCCTCATCATGCCATGACAATAATCCTTACACAATGTAACACTTAGTCTCACATATAACCTAGTTTCACACTTCTGGTTGGTTGACTGCTATTGTATCATTTATTAGGCTTCAGGCACGTGCGCCTATTGGCGTGATATAAGCCCTGAGACCCATTGAGTGAAACAAGTTTTTTTCTATTCATCGCTAAAAGTCTACCTATTGCTAATACTTGACTTCCTTGACTAACTACATTCACATAGACAACTGATGTAGAACTATACCATTTTGGGGTATCACAGTTTTAAACGGATCATTTAGCTTGTCTCAAATCCAATATAATATGTTTGTCACTTGAAATATTGTTATCTATATTTCAGAAGTATTGTTTTCGTCCATATAGAATTTTAGGGTTCTACTAAGACACTACTTTTCTCTCAATTCCATTCTCTATACAATTTACAACTAGTTCAAAAAATCTTTCTTCTCCCTCTCTTTTGCCTATCGCTGCATCACTGTATAAGGGAAAGATGTTGTTTCATTTTCATAAATATGCATCCTCTTCCTTCAATCATTTATGTGTCTTGATAAATTTCTTCATGTTCAAAACCTTCCAATATAGGACGAAGACCAAGTAGAATCATCTTTATACTTTTCAATAACTAATTACATGTTTGTACGTCTTTTAAATGATTTGTTGATATCTTTTTTGCTTCTACCTTTTTTGCTTCTACTTTTTTAAATATTTTTCTCTCTTTTGAAGTTTAAAGTGTAGAAGATAAAGAAGATAATTAACTCAAAAGGAAAGGAATAGTTTTATTTACCTTTTATCTTTCAAAAAATTTAAGGACCAATATTTTCTATTTCCCCTCTATACAAGGAGAGACAGTCCATGTGAGCTCAAGCGACATTTAGCCAATTGAGATATTTGACATAGTGAACAAATTGAAAATTCACAATCATCATTCAACTTTGAGGAATTACAACCACCAATATCAATGTTTCATGCACATTAACATAAGGGTTTCATGCATGCACGTTCAAAAAAAGTAATAATGTAATGAAGCAGTTTCACCAGTACTTATTTCACGCTAAAAGGAGACGAAGTCACACTAGCTTCATCAAGACCCAAATGCTTTTGAAGAAAGTAGTTTTGCCAAATCATTCCAAAAGAGGAGACATCCAAACACAATGTAGTGCAATCATGAATATATGATTTCCTGTAGTAGTTGTGAGGCACAAAAGATATCTTGAGATGGCTAAGGTTAAATAGTAATTTGGAATAAAAAGTTCACGATGAATTTACTTATTTCTAAAATAATGTTTTGTAGATTTTAACAATAGAATGCAATAAACCACAGTTGCATGGAACCTCGTTCATCCAGTTCACAGGACGGGTATGGAAGCATGGTACACCCTTGGATTAGTTTCACCGGTACTTGTTTCACGCTAAAAGGAGACGAAGCCCCACCAGCTTCATCAAGACCCAAATGCTTTTGAAGAAAGTGGTTTTGTCAAATCATTCCAAAAGAGGAGACATCAAAACACAATGTAGTGCAATCATGAGTATATGATTTCTTGTAGTAGTTGTGAGGCACAAAAGATATCTTGAGATGGCTAAGGTTAAATAGTAATTTGGAAGAAAAAGTTCACGATGAATTTACTTATTTCTAAAATAATGTTTTGTAGATTTTAACAATAGAATGCAATAAACCACAGTTGCATGGAACCCCGTTCATCCAGTTCACAGGACGGGTATGGAAGCATGGTACACCGCCCATTAGGAATTGGGTATGAGGTGGGTAGACTTATATGACACGCTAGGTATGTGGTACGCTTTAGGTTCAGTTTTTAAATGTAGGAATTAGAGGTTTTTCAAGAGTCAACTTTAAGAAATATGCTAGTTGATATAACTAATGGTAACACTTAAAAAAACTTGAGAATCATGTTGCAATGAGGTATGCATCCTTTATTTGCTTAAGTTCTCGCATTTCTTGTTATTTATTTTATTCTTTTAAAAAAGAGTTTGTTTTTTTTCAAAACTTTAACTAGTATGAATTCTAAATTGGGTTGTGTTCCACGCGAATCTGGGACAATAACCTAGGTCATGATTCTCTATGGTGTCCCAAGTTCTCAACTTCTATGCAACAAACACAGAGAAAAATGATAGAAAACATGACGTAGATTGCTACTAAGGAAAGACGGAGTTAACGGGGATGAATGATGAGTCCACCGTCTTGGTGGAGATATGAGACTTTTAGAAGAAGAATGATGTTTATCTACTTAATCACAAGCGGCTAACGTCTCCAAGCCATGACTGATCAACGCTTCAAATGTAAAGTTATGTGTGTTAGAATCATTTCATGCACACCCAAGTCTTGAATATGATCATTCATTTTTCTTTCCTTTTTGTTATTTTCTTTTATGAATCTTCCGTCAGTGTGTTGTGAAGGTCAGACATCAAAATGAAAAGATACGCGTTGGTCCCCTTGTTGAAGACCTCACTAACAATATATATGTTGTTCGTGGTTACTGATAAGGATAGGGGAGTTGCAAGATGGTTTACTCCATCTTGTATCAAAGCTTCGCACGTTGAAAAGAAAAGACCAACAAAGACAGATTTTCAAAGTCTACCCTGGTGAATGGAGTTCTGATTGGATTTTGGAGGGATGCAATGATTTTTTCAACACAAGACGATGATTATTAATGGAGCCGATTGGATGCTGCCAATCAGGAAGAGAATTTTTCTGGATGGAGTCGGCTAACAAGGACTTTGTTGATCATCGAAGCAACCATTGAGAATGCTTATTGCATGGAAATCGTGAAATGAGAATGTTCTTTCTTTTTTACGCGATAAACGAGACAAGAATATAGTTGAGATGTTGGAAGTCAATGCGACCTCAAAATAATCAGTTGACGATAGTGATCAGATCTGAGCAACAACCTCCTAAAAAGGAATCTCATATCAGAAGACATCTAGTACAAATAATAACCTTAAACATATTGGACATGACGCTTCTTGTCATATCCTTGTTTACGTGTGCATTTTCAGAGCCCTGCTCATGTCAGCATATCTGGGACCATGCAGTGGAAAACTTTTTGTTCGACAAGGTTATGATTGCTTATGTGGTGAGCAGAAAAAAGAACCCTTGGATTAGTACACTTATCTCCAAACCCTAGCGTTCTGCATTGATCCAAGAGCTTGACACCACATGTCCAATGGATCCAGTTCAGTAGATACTTTCTCCCAAGCAACACAGATTGAGATGAACTTCTTCCCTACTATCAAGGTGAAGTTTTAACTCAAGTTCACTAATTTTAAGAAAGAATACCTCTGCATTTTATATCTAAACAGCTGAAATTTATCAACATTTTAATTTAGAACAAATTCATCCATTCTTTTAAGAGGAACCTTAGAATTGGCAGCTGATTCTTTAAGAGAAGGGTTCAATGCCTATGTACACTCCTTATAGAATATTACCAAGGAATAAATCAAATGCAAATGACAAAACCCAAACATGATTGTTTGGAAATATTGAATTAGGGAGACAAAGCTCTCAAAATTAAGCTGATCAGATACCCATTTGCATGCATAATTAGATCATTAAAAATAGGAACAAATCAAACATTTTGCCCAATAAATACAGCATTGCCATGCAAATAAAAAGATAGCCAATACCACAATCTTACCATAGATAGTAAAATTCCCCTAATCAGATAAACTAATCACAATAATCATACACTCAATTACACCACAAAAAATAGCAATAACAATCAAGAAAACTTAGAGCTCTGCGATCAGCACCTCTGTTTGGATGCTGGAACCAGAACCTTGGCCTTCCATCTGAGATCTGGCTAACAATGACGTGAAAGAGAAAATAACCAGGAGAGAATAATTAGAGTTTTTGTTTGTGAGCTTCACAATGTTATTGTGAGTTGGTGATATAGCCCTGGTACATAAAGTTGGACTTCAGTTTTGTTTGGGAGTCAAACTAATTACCTTTTGTTTGTACTCTAGCTAAAAAGTTCTGACAATGCTAACTGAAAAAGGCTGATAAGACAATTTGGATAGTGTAACGTTTCTGAGTTTTTTGAGGAAGTCCAGTTGTAGTGTATATTTGCAGTTCCAGCCAGCAATGAGATTTTTTGAATTTTGTTGATAAGGAATGCTAAATAGGCTTTATTCATTTTTATTTAGGAAAAAGAGTTGTAAGTTGTTATTAATATTAAGAAACGTCGCCTATAATCCCCTCATCTATGCCTTCAATGCCGCTAATCATATCACCCTTCAACTATTTTATGAGCACTTTAACATCCCAAAATCGGGTTGTTAAACTACTCAGTAAGAATTTCTTTTAACGTCAAGAGTCCCAGGTAATTTCCAACTAATGTTTTAGAGGCTAATTTGAAGTATTATGGTTGGCTCATGAAAAATGAACTTAAGTACTAAAGTTTGTTTCATGTTAAGAGAAAAAAATTATATGGATTAACAGGACAATATTTTTTTAAATAAAAATATAAATAAATCCTTTTGGCTTGTTTTGTTTTCAGTAGGTTACCCAGTGTTGTAAATAGCGGCCAATAGCGGGGCTATAGCGGCGCGAATAGCGGTCGCGGCCCTTCAGCGCTACGCGTAGGGGTTTCGCGGCTGGCTTAAGCGGGAAAATCCGCTATTCATTCGAATAGCGCGTAAAAGCGGATTTTAGCGGGTTAAAAGCGGGTTTTCGCGGTTAGAAGCGGATTTTCGCGGTTAAAAGCGGATTTTTGTTGTTAAAAGCGGCTAAACCCGCTAAACCCGCTATCACACATATTATGATGCTATATTTCTTGAATTTCTTCATAGTTTCATTCATACAACAAGCTTATTAATTGTTATTTATTGATAATACAAGAAATTTACAACTAATTGAGTTTTTAGTTTTTTTTATGAATTTTCTTATTATTTAGGATATTTAAATATATTTAAATTTGACCGCTATTTGACTGTGCGCTATTTGCCGCGATTTCGACGCAATAGCCCGATATAGCCTTAGCGGTACCTAGCCGCGACGCGCCGCGATCCGCTATCAGCAACCTTGAGGTTACCATATGTAACATCCATCAAATGATACATGCATTCAGATCCTTGACAGTTCTTCTTTCTTTCGACGACAACCCATAGTCCCATACTATCCAATCTGATTACTTCACACATCTGAAAATTAAAAATTATTGATAGTAAACTCCTAAGTGAACGGAGGATTTCCATGAAATCAACATGCCTATTTTATTTTCTTCAGGTGCAATGTAATTTATAATAATCAAGTAAGACGAATTTTTCTGTGTAGTTCATTCCTACCATATTCCTAATATCATCTATTCCAAGGATACATATCGAGAAAGACGAAACTCCTCAAGCTCATAGGACATTCAATTTGCAAAAGATACTTCAACTTCTCTAATATGCTAAAAACTTATGTTCTCCATATCACAGAGAGACCTCATATTTGCAGTTTCAGTCATTTGGTTGTACTAACAAGATAAGTAGGTTTAAATTATTAAAATGGAAGAAAAAAAACAATACTGAAGGCGAATGAATGACAATAGAAGAAATAAACATGTCTATATTAATCCAATACAAGAAGAACTGACAATTGATGCTAAAGTCTTTCCAGGCAGTGCAGGCACAAACAGCTCAATTAGTAGCTCTCCAAGTTAAAAATCTCGGATATTGCTGGACTCCTCATAGTCACAGACAACAAGCAGAAGCTCATGATCTCACTTTATCCAGTATCCTCCTGATTGAAGATTGCAACCTATATGATTCAAAGCCGAGACCTCTTTGCTTACTTTCAACATAGAATATCTCTTGTGATACTCCATGAAATCCAAAAATTTCCATGTTAGAAGGTGACCACTAATGATGAATCATTGGATTCCAACGTGCAATCATGGGAAAACAAGAGATAGGGTATCTTTCCTAGAGTCAGCCAGGAGGATCACATTATCTTCTTAATATTATGATTAGCTATACATAAAATTTTCAAATAATATGTCATTGCTCTATTTTGACTCTGAGCAAACTTTTCATATTTCAAATTATCTTCTTTTCAGTACTGTGATACCTAAATTTGAAATATCTTAAAGCCATTAAATAAACTACATACATACATACATACATACATACATACACACATACATACACACACACACACACATACACACACACATACACACATACATACATACATACACAAACTTTTCATATTTCAAATTATCTTCTTTTCAGTACTGTGATACCTAAATTTGAAATATCTTAAAGCCATTAAATAAACCACACACACACGCACACACACGCGCGCGCGCGCGCATGCGCGCACACACACACACACCTACCTACCTACCTACCTACCTAGTATAGAAATATCAAATCCTATGAGATTGTTTTCTTCCTGTTTTAAGTTAAAAGTATAAAATTTCTATTTCAAGTAGTATGATACTATATTTGAGATCTACTAAAATAAGTTTTAACTTGTGTTGGAAGGCACAAGACTATGAATCAGTTACTTATAAACAGCATTAATAAGACATTGCAAATATTTTGACAAACACGTTATCCAATATAGCTGAAAGGAAACTAACATTGTTATCACATGATATGATCTTCAGCCTCCACAACTACTTTAAAAAATAGGCTAAATTGTTATAATCCGGAAATTACCTTTGTTGCACAATGAGCCCATGATGAACCTGGTGCTGAAAATTTGTTGCACAATGAGCATCTGCCATGATGGAATTTGTAAAGGACGGCCATGATCTGCAGATGCAGCGAAGGAGCATAGTCAGCAATGTGAGTCAGTTTGATGTAAATGGATTCTGATAAATCTGGTGAATATAAAGTGAGCAGAATAAGATATCTCCGAATATATTTTCTTCAAATTCAAAGGTTCTTGACACTCACACTTCTGCATGCATGTCAGTGAGGCACATGCATGCATTACACACCCATACATGCACTATATATGCATGCATGAACACACCTCGCATACATGAATGCATGTGCGCACACACAAACACACATGCACAGGCATGGGCAATGACAATTTTTAATATTATCATTATCTATATATAGAAATTTCAGATTTTATGTTATTGCTATCTCAAATCTTTGAGAAAAGTTTTCAAGTTTCAGATTATCTTTTTTTTTTACTGTTGATTCTAAATTTGAGATCTCTTAAAACAACATGATCCAGCAGCAGCCATTTTTTAGAAACAGGTTCGAATTCCTGAACAAGGGAAAAGGCAAAGAAGTTTGATCAAGGTGGATCTTTTTTTCTTTTTGGAAGTGCCAAAAAGGGAAAAGGCAAAGACGACTTCTTCATCATGTATGCTTTTTCCCCCTACATATACATTAGCCACATAATTTGTCTACATTTGCCACATAAATTATCTACACATGTAATCAGGTTATACTTGCACAAAATCTTGTATTTGTCTCGATTAGAATCCGCAGAGCCTAGGAATACATTTACACATCATCATCCTATATCTACTATATACGTTTTATTAGGCAAATGGAAATAAGGGTTTAAGTTTAAGTCATTGATGTTATAGCCGCTGGTTGATGGCATAATATATCCATTTTCATAAATAATTAAACAAGGTCATCTGCAAAATGAAACATGATTGAGCAAAGAAAAGTTGGAAAAGTTAAGGATTCTGTTAACAAAGCAAGAAAAATGGCTTGTAAAAAACTTCGCTTTTCAGAAAGAAAAACCATTACAAAATATAACAAGTTTTAGAAACTAGGCAAGAGTGCAAGGAAAGTCTAGCACAACAAATGGGTCTTCAACAAGTTTTTATTCAAAAAGTGTATCGGCTAGCTCCAAAAGAAGACAGAATAAGGATTGTTTTGAGGAAGATACATACAATGTTTTAAATATTGGTTTGTGGGGATTTATCGGGCGGTCAAAATTCATATCAAATAGCGGATATCTGGGATAAGTAGTATTTATCAGAGTGACATTACCGGATGGTGATATACATAATATAATATATTAAAATTTAATCTAACCATATGTAATGAAATATAAACATACCAAAATGTAAATGTAAAAAATTATGTTTAGAATCACTAACCAAAGGTAAAACTCAGGTCGGGTCGGGTTTTAAAGTCCATTCGATAGGTGCCCGTTACCCGAAGTCAAAACTCAAACAAAGGCCGATAATTCCTATTTTTGGGCCGACAATATCGGCCAATAACTCACTTTATCGCCGCATTATCAGCGATAAACTTCCAAAAACGATAACCGATTTAGAATCGAACTTATCATAGCGGAAGGCCCCCAAAACCAATAATTCGCCGATAATATCGGTTTATCGGCTGATATTTAAAACATTGGATACATATGATTGTTATAAAAATTTTACCTTAATTACCATGCATATATGTTATTGATATGCTCGTAATCTGCCGGAAGTGTTTGTTGGTGAATAAAAGAATGTTCCAGCCTACAAGGACAAATAATTGATTAAAAATTTGTTAGGCTCAAATGTCAATTAAGTAAACAACAGTTGCTAGAAATGTCAAAATAGGAAAATCTGATAACGAGGTACTGATTGAGCAGAAATAGAGCTCATATGCAGTTAATTAGGGAGGTTACAGGCACTAGAAACATGAATTTTGGAAGATACTGAACTAGACTGATTAAGCAGAAACAAAACGATAACACGTACATTATCCCCTACCTTAATTTCTTTCGACGCACAACCCATACTATCCACTCTGATGTTCTCTTGTAACTTCTTCTTGACATTGTCATCATATATTTTCTATAGTTTCATTGCCGGTATTTATGTTTACTCATCACTTACTAATTCCAGTCATAGTGTGCGAATTCTGAAATTTATAGTTTGTACATGCTCCAGGTTTGATTATACTGTCAACTCTGATCGATCTGCTAGATTCTACAAATCTAAAGGACGGATGTCTAGAGCCAGGATATTCTGGCATCCGAGCAAAGCTCTGTGGCCCAAAACAGCCGCCTCAGGACTTCATGATTCAGGTGCGTCTCTATGCTAATGTAATGTTTAGAAATTAATTTGGCGCATCTTTATTATTTCTTTCTTTGGCATGCTTGTTGATGTCTTTTTCATTTTGTACATAAATTTATTTGTTTCACGCATTACGAATGCAATATGCAACATCCCCCTAAAAAAACCAAAACATGGCGCATAAAGACCGGCCTTCCGAATCTACCCATCAGGCCAATGTAACGGCCGACACTCCTTCAGTTTCAAATCAAGCGCAAAAGTACGGCCGTAATAGACGTCAAGAACGAAAAAAGATTCATTCTTTGAGCAAGCAATGCGGGTGTTTGCGGAGCAAACCTCACTGAGGCCGGCGATTCCACCGACAGTGCTCCAGCTGCCGGTATCCGACGAGAAGACGTCGACCTCGTCGGAGCCACGGCGGCGCACGGGATCATCCCCCGGCAACGGGAAAGATACGATCTTGAAGGAGCGGGTATCGGAATTGGGATTGAAAGCAAGGGCCAGCTCTCTGGAAACCCTGGGCGGCTTTGGGATTTTCGCCCGCTTTCTCGTCGCGGAGGGAATTAGGGTTTGAGAGGAGTAACAATCCGTTGCAGACGGAGATTAGGGATCTGAGCAGGGATCTGATCCCTAATCATCGGGATGATGATGATTATCCATTAATGAGATGTTTACGCTCATGATGATGATGATGATGATGATGATGATCCAGCGTGGCGTTTATATAGTCTCTTGAAATAATTTTACGCCATGATTACAGAAGATGTTTTTTTTTTGGGCAACATACCCGAAATCATTAATAATTTTAGAGTTCTGATGCAATAGGATGTATTTTAAAGTTAATAATTGTTTCCGAATAAAAGATCTGATAGATGTTGCCTTTAATATTTTATCTTTTGTTACTTACATTAGGAGTCTTGAAACTTTAGGAAGCCTTATACGTCTATATATAGACCCAGGAGAAGAACTAATTATCAATCAATTATTTTCTCACCCTCTCTCTCTCAAAGTTGATCAATGGAGCGAATCCCTGAAGAATTGCTTCTTGAAATCCTCTCCAGAACTCCGACCAAGTCTCTCCTTCGTTCCGCGTGTGTTTCAAAGGCATGGCGAGATATTATGCACAAGGACCATCATCTCCGAAGCCTGCATTGCGACCACTTGCCCTCTGACAATCCTACGCCTCTCTTCTTCTCCAACCGAAGGAACGAAAACCTCTCCATCATCGCCATCTCCTTGGCCCAAGACTACGTCGCAGGGAAGCCTAAGATATGGCATATCCTCAAAAGACAGTCATTCGCGACGTGGAATAACGGTACGTGGAACGAGGACGACTACAAGCTCGCTAACACCTGCAACGGACTTCTCTGCTTTAGGCCTAATAATTACCGACAACCTATTGAGATCTGTAATCCTCTCTGTGCTGAGTACAGCACGCTTCCTGCTTACCCGATGCAGGATATTTTCAGTTGCTCAGTCGGGCTGGGCTTCAGTCCCTCAACGAAAGAGTACAAAGTAGTCGTGATTGCTAAAGATCATGGCTACAACTTTTCTCGCCCAGAAGAAGGGTCCCCGGGCAAGCTATCCATACGCACTCTGGGCGCCGAAGAGTCATGGAGAGATGTCGGAGATATTTATTTCAATACACGCCATGGTCCTATTTATATCGACGGGAAGATACACTGGACAATCTCCTATGCTAATTCATCAACAGATTTGCACCTGTTATCTATCGACCTCGGAACTGAAGAGGGTAAGGTAATAGACAATGTTCCGAACGACGACGGTCAGTTGCAGCTCACACAGCTCAAAGAGGGCATCTCTGTCATCATTACTTCAGAGTCGGACATCAAGATATGGACTCTCAAGGAATACCACAACATAATTTCCTGGGAAAGAACGCATATCATTGAGCTCCCCCGCGCACCGGCAGGGACACCTTCCCGGTTTCCGAGACTCGTTGGCATGTGGCAACGCGACGATGGTTTGCAGGTTTGGTTACACGATGTGATGATCCTGTACTATGAAGCAAAGAATTCTGAAGAAGGGTGCAAGATGTACGAGGAACCTGCAGTTTCAAGTACCTGGCGTCTTTCTGAAGAAGGGTGCAAGATGTACGAGGAACCTGCAGTTTCAAGTACCTGGCGTCTTCACACAAGTTATATGCCGAGCCTTGTGCCTCTGAAACGAATAGGCTGTGAAAGCAAGAAGGTATTTGCTGATCAAAATCATTTGATTCAACACGATGAACTACCACCTAATTGTACTCCTAAAAGGGTAGTCATTGAATTAAATCTTTAGATTTTCTTCGTTCTTGTATTCAATAGAGTGAATAGTTTTATGTAATACTGCCACAGAATCTGAATCTACAATGATCTTTACATTCCTTGTAACTTGAGCGACTGTAATATATCAAAAAGACTGATCATCCTTCTTGTTTCTCTAGTGCGAATGCAGTAGATGATAGAGCATTGATAAATAATTGAATTGGAAAGTGAACTATGCTTTTTTAGATTATCATGCAACAAGTCAAAACTAGGCATACTTTTAGTATAAATATTGAAGTCTCACAGCATACGTTTCACGGTTCTCATTAGCATCCTTCACGGAAAAGATCATTGATTTTATTCCATTCGGAAAAGATCATTGATTTTATTCCACGAGCATGAATAAAATGCGATATCGAAATAAACAAACAAGGAGAAAAAACAGAGAAGAAAAGACTTCATGAGCTCTGCTGGATCATTCTTGAGAACAGTCCTATATGTGCAATCAATAAACTACTTCGTATTTCATTGCGCGAATCCGGGCAAAGAAACACGGTAAATAAACGATCCATCTCTGCTTAAAACTTAACATGAAACAGAAAGCAATCTTTTGAGCTAGAAAAAACTCGAGATAC